CGTTAGCGCATTTCCCTGGTTAGACCTTCAGGTCTTTGGAGAGGTTATCTTAGTCCACCCAGCCACCTAGCCTCAAGCCAGGTTCAACACTCACACTTCCTCCAGCCTTTCTCATCTGACAGGATTTCCTGAGTGTTCACAGGCTAAGTCTCCATGAGACTGGCTTGGCAAAGCAACTTGTAACATATGGGACCAAGATCGCACACAATATTCCAAATGTGGTCTAACAGTTCAGCCTTTTCCAAAAAAACACCAAGTGCCTTCTATTCTCCAGACTAATATTTTTCTTGATCTGAACTATACCTCAGTTAATGCACCCTAAAAACACATTAGCTCTGTTTGTTTTACTTCATTTAATGTATCAGAATGAGCATGAGGCCTCAGCCTGTTATCCAAACCATCTGTTTATATTCTGTTGCTAGTTCTATAGTAAGACACTCAAAGCTTTCTGGGCCATGTGGCCTTCAGCGGACCCTGTCATTTACTAGCTGAGTGACCTTGAACTAGAAAAATATTGGTTCTCTTATGATTTCTCTTCCAAGTTTCTAATAAAAATAAATTTAAAATGCAAAACTAACAACAGATTTGTGTGGTATGGTAGAGCACCCTCCAGACTGACCCTGACCCCCCAGTTTAGCTGAAAAGATTGCTTCTTGAATTTCAGGAATGGATGATGAGTTCATGAAGTTAAAGAAAAAATAAACTGTAATAGATCACACACATGACCTCACTCCATAGCAATCTTGTAAGATGTACTAGGTTTTTTTTTTTTTTTTCCAGATAAATAAACAGGTTAAGCTTAAATAAAAGGTTATGGCATCTCTAAAACCATAGGGGCAATGAGTGGAGGGGCCAGAATCAACAGCAGCTACATCACATTCCCTCCTAACCATTACAGAGTGAGAGCCCAGCAGAGCGTGTGGAACTCCTGTGGTGAGTCAACGGATACAGAAGACAGAGTGACTCAGTACTATGAAGGCAGTGTGGGTAGAAAGAGTAAACTGAGGCATGTGCTGTTTAGCCTGTGCACTATTAAGAATCAACCCTACTGGATATAATTAATGAACCAACTGAAATATTTGAAAATTAATTTCACAGATAATGATAAGGGCTTTGGATGCAAATAAAGCATTATCAGCAGCATGTGCGCTGAGGACATTGTTAAAGAAAGGCCTTATTGAACAGAAGTGATATAAGGAGAATATGACACAAATGTCTCAGAGAAGAGCACTCCAGGCCAGATATTCTTGGTGTCCTAGTTAGAGTTACTGTTGCTGTGATGAAACACCAAGACCAAAAACAACTTGGGGAGGAGAGGGCTTACTAGGCTTACATGTCCTGAATGACAGTGCACTGAGGAAAGCCAAGGTGGGAACTTAAACAGGGCAGATGCTGAGGCAGAGGCCTTGAAGGGGTGCTGCTTACTGGCTTGCTCATCACGGCTTGCTCAGCCTGCTTTCTTATAGAACCAGGACCACCAGCCCACCCACCAAAGCCTGGGTCCTCCCCCATTGTCACTAATTAGGAAAATGCCTGACAGGCTTGCCTGCAGCCAGATCTTATGGAAGCATTTTCTTAATTGAGGTTCCCTCCTCTCAGATGACTTGAGCTTGTGTTGAGTTGACATAAAAATGGATAGTGCACTTGGCATATTCATTTTTGAGAAACACAAAAAAAGGTGAAAAGATTGAGAGTGAGAAAAGGAGAGAAAACAACAGTCAGTTGTGTGGAAAGACCAAATCATTCTTGCACTTGGATTTTGTTCCTGATGTAATGGCAAGCCATGAGCCTTGTTTAAACAGAGTAGGAAGAAACATAATTCAATTTGATATTCTTTAATACTTTATTGAAATCATAATACACTATATTTACAGGTGCCTAAAACACCAGCACCTGAACCAAAAGGAGAGAGCGTGGCTTGGCGCATTTGCTCTTGGTGAACCCATTTTAGCTTCTAATTCTTCTCTAAGCACTTAGAAACCAAACACTACTAACCTGATCTAGAACCCTGCCAGGCTCTTGCTCTGAGACTCCATAATTCCTTCTCCTTCCTGCCCTTAAATTCTTTTTGAAAAATCTGTGACAACTTCTTCTTCTTTTTTTTTTTTTTTTTTGTAATGTGAAGAATTGGTAATTGACAGGTTGACTAAAAGTGGTACAAAATACATAAATAGAGTTAGAGAAATGAAGAGGGGAACATCAGAAATTAGAGAGATGGAACAGAGCTCGAGAGGTCGATGCACAGGACCTCTAAGAGTTGGCCTGTGTATGCGTGCATGCGTGCATGCGGGTATAAAAGCAGAAAGCACCGCCCCACAGGGAGCTCTACAGGCTTAATACTGCTATTTGACCTAAAGCCTGAAAGAAAACCCGCAAACTGGGAATGTCAATTTTGACTAGATGGTAGGACTTTGGCTGAATTTTTCCATAAATTTTATAAATTGTTTTCTTCTTTCTTCTTTCTTCCCTTTCTCTTTCTTTCTTTTCTTTCTTTCTTCTTTCTTTCTTTCTTTCTTTCTTTCTTTCTTTCTTTCTCTCTTTCTTTTCTTTCTTCTTTCTTTCTCTCTTTTCTTTCTTCTTTCTTTCTTTCTTTCTTTCTTTCTCTCTCTCTCTTTCTTTCTCTCTTTCTTTTCTTTCTTCTTTCTTTCTTTCTTTTAACAGGGTCTGAAACAATGTAGCTCAGGCTGGCCTCAAATTTAGGCCAATCCTCCAGCCTCACCCTTCAAAGAATCTGGGATTACAGGCATGAGCCATCATGCTCAGCTTTGGTTTTCTGTTACTTTAACGTTGACTTCTACAATTTAATACAGATTTTCTGAACACGGCAGGAAACTCAGTTACTTCCTGGAGCAAAGCACCACCAAGATAGTCTCAAATCTTGGTACCAAGACATAAGTGCTGAGAAACCAAAACTTAAGATTCAAAGTTGTTTTTGTTTGGTTTAGGGGTTATGGGTGCTGGGAATTGAGCCCAGGGCTGGCAGCATCGTAGGCAAGCATCCTAGGCAAGTGCTCCACCACTGAGCTACCTCCTTGCTCTTCCCTGTGCCTTCTCTCTTCTTAAGGCATGGTGTGCTATGCCCCAGGCAGGCCCTGAACTTACATTGCACCTCTGTGTTGCTGGCAAGCACTCCACCACACTTTCTCACATCTTACAAAATGTGCTGCTTTGGGAAGGATGGAGATTTGAAGAGCTTGCGCCAGGGAAAGACTCTATAATCTAGAAACAGAATTCTGGCAATATTCTGTTGCTACTGGAGGTTGTGCAGTAGGAACAGACAGAGCTGGAAAGAATGGCAAGGAAGATTCCCCGAGGGCCCCTTGGGAACCCCCAGTGTGGCACGGTCTGTTTCTGGAAAGGGAAAGGTCTGGGCAGCTCAGTCTAACTCTCATGCTGGTTCCACTTCCCTGGCTGTACCGAATCAAGAAAAAAGTACAAATTGCTTTGAGAGAAGACAAATTCGTAAGCACTCTCATATGTGCAGGTCATCGGTGCAGAGCTTGTGGAGCTCCCTGCTCAGCTCTCCCCCTTCAGAAGACACTGAGTGGCTGGACTCTGTACCGGTGTCAGTTGAGTGCCCACTCCTTCCAATTACTTGTAACTTCTCTGTGTTTCAAATTTTTCCTGATTAAAAATTTTTGCTTGCTTGTTTGGTCTTTTGAGACAGGGTCTCATTTAGCTAAGGATGATTTCTGATCCTACTGACACCTCCTCCCAAATGCTGGCATTACAGGCATGAGCCACCACCACTGTGTCTGATCTTTGTAGTGCTGGGGATCAAATCCAGGGGTTCGTACTCTGGATGGGCACTCTGTCAAATGAGCTAGATTCCCAGCCCTTTCCTTGTAAAAAATTTAATAAAAAAGCTTTCATGCTTTTACAGACCACACTGAAAACTTTCTTAACTGCCTTTGATGCATCATTCCTCACTGATGTTACTTCTTTCTATAGGATGATATAAACCATTTTGGGAACTCTCATTTTATGCTTCTCAAATCTCTTAATACCTACTCTGTCAGTCACTGCTACTGAACTGAAACTCCATTAACTGGTATCCCAAGTCTGGCAGAAACTCTAGTTGCCTTAAATATAATTTCTACTTCAATATCTTCCTATGAGTATAACAATAACAGCCTAGAGTTAAAAAAATATTGAGATTTTGCTCTGTCCTTATCAGCCTGTTGGAAACGTAAGATGCTGCTGAGTGCAACCTGGCCTGTGCAGACGCCTTCGATGCTCAGGGAAACGCTGGCTTTCTTCAGGAACAACATTTCTGAGTAGGATTCAAACTCAAATGTTTGACTATAAAAGGAGGCAAATTGAGCGAATTTTCTTAATTGATCTTTATTTTTATTTATTTTTCTTTCTTCCTTCTTTTCTTCTTGTTTTGGTCAGGGTCTCACTCCATGGTTCAGGCTGGCCTTTACCTGATGTCAGTTTTCCTGCCTCAGGCTTCAGAGTGCTAGGATTAGAGGTGTTAGAGGTGACTGCCACACCCACAGTTTACTTTAATTGACCTTTATTTTTATTATTTTATTTTTGAGACCAGGTCTCACTCACTATGTAGCCCTGGCTATCCAGGGACTTTCAATGAAGACCAGGCTGACTTCACACTCATAGCGATCCCCTGCCTCTGTCTCTTGAGTGCTGGGATTAAGGCATGTGACACCTTACACAGCCCTTTAGTTGAGCTAAGAAAATATTATATTTGATACACATGTCTGACCAGATAGTTCAGTGGTTAAAATATTGTTTGGGGGCTGGTGAGGTGGCTCTGTAAAGGTGCCTGCTGCTCAGGCCTGACAACTTGAGTTCCACCAAGTTTGATATAAAGTAGAAAGAGAGACAACACTGACCCCACACCATTGTCCTCTGACCTCCACATATGCACTGTGGTGTCAGTACATGCACATATACATATATGTATATACATACTCATACACAATTTTTAACTACTTTGCTATAATAGTATATGCAATAGAACATCATAATACACTCACAGGAAGGCTTAAGAACTCATTAAAGTAATCCACAAGGAAGTCGTCTGTTGCCAAACAATTTTCCTGCAAAGACACAAAACCATATTATGGCCATGTTTTAAAGCATACCTGTATTACTATGACTTAGATCTTGAGGAAAATGTACTACAACATGATCTGAGCACTCAGGAGGCACAGGTCTGCCTCAGCTTTGTAGTGAGTTCAAAGCAAACTATACAACCTGAGACCTTGCCTCAACCACCACCACCGCCCTTAACAAAGAAGAAAATAGAATGGAATATTCTCCCAAAAGACCTATTGCAGCTAACTGGCAAATGAAGAATGTAGTGCAGCATGTGAGCAAAATATCAGCAAGTACAAACAAATTTCCCAGACTTTTAAAACATGCACTTCACAGAAATAGAGGGAGAAGGCCTACAAAATGGCTTAACACATAAAAGTTCTTCATAAAAACCTGTCGGCTCCTTAAAACTCTCATAGAGAGCAGACTCCATGGAGTTGTCCTCTAACTTCCACGTGTGCACCATGGTTGTGCTCATGCATGAGTGCACACACACAATAACAACAACAATAAAGAAAGAATACAATAAAGTAAATAAAAATGAAAGCAGACTTGTTAAAACAGTCGCAAGTGTTAGGCGTTAAAAAGAAATTAAGAATGTGACATTCTTTGCTACTCAAAGGACGTGACAAGCTAAGCATAACATTCAGTTTCTTCTCTGTAAGCCTGAGCGTCTGTGTTCAGGATCTGGATCCAGCTTGGTTTTGAACAGAGACACTCTCGCCAGTGCGTGTATTCTGAGCACAGCTTGTATACATTTTTTTCTTAACTGTCTCATCCACCAACATAGCCACTTTTAAAATTGGCAAAATCAAACAACCACTGCCAAGAACAAAACTGCTCTCCCAATCATAAAACACCTTATTTTATTAGTCATTTCCATGTGTCAAGAGCATGTCATGGCACACTCAGCTGAAAAGTACATGTGGTTTTTTTATTATTCATAATTGTATTTCAATTTTGCAAATCTAACACGAAAGTTGAAACATGACACAAAGTTATTATTTCCATATGGCTGATAATTTTCTTTTTATTTTGGCCAATTTTTAAAAATTAGTGAAGTAGTAGCTGGAGAGACAGCTCAGTTGATAAAGGGCTTGCTGTGTAAGCATTGGGGTTCCAGTCTCCAGCACTCACATAAGAAGCTGGGTATAGTGTGTGCACTCTTAATACCAACTACAGGAAGGCAGAGAGAGGAGGCTCCCTGGGGCTCTCCAGCCAGCCCACCCAGCCTAGTCACCTAGCCTAGACCCTGTTGAAGGAGGAGGAGAGAAGGTAGAAGTGGGGAGAAGGGAGAGAAGAGGGGAAAAGGAGAGAAGGTAGGGAGGAGGAGGAGAGGAGGAGGGAAAGAAGGGAAGAAGAGAAAGAGAAGGAAAATAGGAGGAGGAAGGGAAAGGGAAGATAGGAAGAGGAAGGAAAGAGGGGAGGAGGAGGGGAAGAGTAGAGGAAGAGGAGGGCAAGAAGAATTCTACCACAAAGCTGCATCTTTAGCCCTAAACCAATGAAGACCTGAGAAGCTGCTTACTTCCAAAGCCCTTGAATTATAAAAGAAAAAACAAAACAAAAAAACTAGTCTTTAATCTGAATTAGTAGCTTTGCTTTTATCATTAAATTTCTACAATCCAATTACTTGGACATTTTAAAATTAATTAAATTTTCTAACTCAGGTTGGTATCTTCCAAATACCCAGAAAATTGTTGATGGTTAAAGAAATAATCAACAAGGAAATTGAGTTACACTCAGTTTCTCTATTACATATTGGCAGGTGCAATTGCAGCCAAGGGGTGAGTGGGAGGGACCTCTGTTAGCACTCACTACTCTTGAAGCCTGGCTTACAGAAGGCAGAGTGCACCAAGTAGTTGATGCACACTTGCCAGCGATGGTAGCTGCTGTCGATGGGAGCAACTATGTTGCTTTTTCTGCATGAATCATCACTCATCACAATTCCTTCTTTTTTAATGTAGTGTGTGTAGGTCAGCTTTCAGGAGTTCTTCCTCTAACCATGTAGGTTCTAGGGATCAAGTTTGTGTTGTCAGTCTTAGAAGCAAGCACCTGCTGATTCATCTCACTGGTCCTCTTTGTAATTCCTTCCTGACATTGTTAAACTCTAATCTCAAAACATACGCAGTAGATTTTAATCCATTAAACCCTAATATCCAAGCCTTTCTCCCTGTGTAAAAGTCCTTCCAGCCCAATATTTTAATTTAAAAGAGACAGTGGCCCTCACTTTTTCCCCTTCTCCCTGTTGGGGATGTGATAATGTCTCCAATCTTGATCTCACAATTAACACATATATGTAATTTGTTTGTTATCCTGCTTCACTGGAAGGGTCAATACCTGTTCGCTTTTTATTGTTGTGACAAAACACTGATCCAAACCAATTTAAGGTGGAAAGGCTTTATTTCAGCTTACAGCTCTCAAGTCCATTCCAGAATACCTCCAATCATGAAGCGCAGTCTGGGCAGGAACTGAAGCAGAGGCCATGGGAGAACACTACTTACTGGCTTGCTCCTCCTGACTTGCTCAGTTCGCTTTCTCATACACTCCAGAATCACCTCCTGGGGGCAGCACCAACACTGGGCTAGGCTCTTCTACAACAATTATCGATCAAGAAAACGCCCATGAGAGGTCTAAAATTTGAAATTTAATTCCTAGGGCAACATGACTGAGGGCTTGGGTACAAGTTTAGACAAAGAAGCAGGTAAGTTGAGACAGACCCGCCCTGCTGCAGAAAAGTAAACAGGCTTGCACCTGAGAGATAGCGTTGCCTGGCAACCCACCCAGATAGCCCCTAGCTGGTGACCAAGGTCACAGAGCCCTGCTACTAAGAAAAACCACAAGATGTGCTAATCGTTCCCCCTCCCTACCAGGAGCAGATACCCTCCAGATGGACAGGCCAGGACCATTATGGCCTTGGTGCTTAAAATAGACCAAGGCTTGGAAATTTCCCACTTGCGGTTTTACCCTTTAAAGACCCTGTTCCCCCAGACCTCAGAGCCACATACCCTCTCTGTTTCCACAAAGAACTTGCGACCCAGGCTCAAGCTTGTATTAAATAAACCCTCATGTGTTTGCAGTGGAGTCGATTCCTGGTGGTCTTTGGGGGTCTCACAAACTGGGTATAACACCCATAGCCATGCCTGCAGGCTAATCTGATGTGGGCACTTTCTCAACTGAGATTCCTTCTTCCCAGATGACTCTAGCTTGTGTCAAACTGACAAAACAAAAAATCACAGTTATCTCTCCAGTCAGAATGAATGCTGCTTTTGGAACTCAGGGCTGATAATGTGTTTCCCCAGAACACATCACAGTCATCAAGTCCATTATTTATGGAACTTCTAGCAGTTTCTGCAGTTCAAAAAAAAAAAAACAAAAACAAAAACAAACAAACAAAAAAAAAAAAACCAAAAAACATCAGAGAATGATCCCTATTCTGAGTATAGGCCTCCAATGGGATAAGTGATTTCCAAAAAACAGCAGCACTTTGCAAAGGCTCTCTGCAATTTCTCTCAGTTTCCAGAAGATGTCCCCATAGTACTCTGGCTTCTAGATCTGCAATGCCTTCAGGAAAGAAGGGATGAGGGGAGTTAGGACCAGTAATCCTTCATCTAACTGCCCTGCCCTCCATGGTTTCCACGTGAAACCACCTGTTACCAGTCTGACTATGCTCTGAGTCATCAACCCACCATGTTCCACCTGAAAACAAACACTAATAACTAGTCAGGAAATCATGTAGTCTTCTTCCTGGAGACAGGGATTATGGATCTTTTGATATATTGTTTTTAGATAAAGATGATATTTTCATACTTCAGAAATCTCTTTGTTTACTATAATTACATCCAAGCTATAAAGATAACAGAATGAATTGGAGAAAGCTAAGTTTTAGTTGAGACAAACACCAATTTTCACAATTAAATGCTATAAATATTGTTTGAAGCTTTAGTCCCTTTTTAGATGTGAATCTTTTTATAATTTCCTATGTAAATCCTGCATTTATATCATTTCTAATTCCCCTCTCCCTTGTGACTTCCCCATGCTTTCCTACTTGCTCTCAAACTCATGCTCTCTTCAATTATTATTATTATTATTATTATTATTATTATTATTATTACAGCATACACACATAGAGATAGACAACCTGTGAATCCATTTCTGTTGCTCACATGTATGTGTTTAAGGTTGGCCATGTGGGGCTCATCCCTGGGGGAAACTGACTCTCCTCTCTCAGCAGCCATTAACTGCCTGTAACTCTTCATCTATGGGCAGGGCCTTGTGACGTTTTCCCCAGTTCATGTTGGCATGTCAGCTGGTGTTGTCATTTATACAGGTCTTGTTTAGGCCACCATATTGTTGAGATTGGGTTTGGCTTCCCCAGTCATGTCTGGAAGGCACTATCTCAGCTGTCTTAGTTACTTTCTGATTGCTGTGATAAAAAAAAAAAAAAACATAGCCAAGGAAACATAACATAACAAAGAGATGAGCTTGAAGCCCTGATTGTCTATCTTCCAAGTATTATGATTACAGGTATGTGCCACCCCACCTGGCTAAACTCCCTTTTAACTTGATAATACAAAAAGAGTTTATTGAAATTTATAGTTTCAAATGGTGAGTCCATGACAACCATGGCAAAGAGCATGGTGGCAGGCAGGTATGGTGCCGAACAGTAGCTGAGAGCTCACACCCTTACTGACAAGCAAACATCACAGAGAGAGCTACTTGGGAATGGCATGGGCTTTTGAAACCTCAAAGCCAACCCCCAGGGACACATGTCCTCCAACAAGGCCACACTTCCTAATCCTTCCCAATTAGTCCACCAGTTTTGAACCAAGTATTCAAACAGATGAACCTATGGGAGTCATTCTCATTCAAAGTTTGTTTAACACAGTATCTCATGTAGTTGTGGCTGATATGTGGCTTATATGTAGCTGAGATGACCTTGAAGCCCATTTTCTACCTCCCAAATCTGATTACATGTATGTGCCACCCCACCTGGCTAAAGTCCCTTTTAATTTGATAAGATAAAAGACATTCTCTTTTAAAAATTCTTTCTTTTGAGCAATCTTTAACTTGCTTTTTAAGTATTTTGTTTTATTTTATCTCATTTTATTTACATAAGAGTTTTATCTTTATGTATGTCTATGCAACCACTTGTATAGCTGAAAAGGCCAGAAGAGAGCATCAGATTCCTTAGAGCTGGAGTTATAGGTCACTGTGATCCACCATATGTGCTAGGGAATCAAACTTGGTCTTTATGGGAGATCAGCCAGTGCTCATAACTTCTGAGGCATCTTTCCAGCCCTGTACCTGCTTTTAAAGCTAATGAATCTATGAGTTTTATATATAAGAAAAACTAACAAGCAGAACAAGATAATCACACACACACACACACACACTCCATAAATGTATGGCTGAAGAGATGGTTCAGCAGTTAAGAACTCATACTGCTCTTGCACAGGACCCAAGTTTGGTTCCCAATACCTACATCAGCAGGCTCACAAACCACCTGTCACTCCAGCTCCCAGGAATCTAACTATCTTTTCCAGTCTCTGAGGGCATCTGCACCACACACAAATATGCACATTTTTAAACCTATTTGCACAGCTGTAAACATTATTTTTTCAAAATGGTAAGATTTTTAATTACAAAGCTTTTTCCTATTACAAAAAATTTTCTTTTGAAGGCACACAAAAGAAAAAAAATCAGGGTACTTAAAAGGTATTTAAAACTTGGGTATTTAAATGTACTCTGTCTTATTAAAAATACTAGGAGTCACTCTCATAAAGTTGACTCAATGTGTAAACTGCATGGAATAAATCCCAATGTGTTCAGATAATCTCTTGCATCATTTAAATAAATAAAAAATGTTCCACAAAGGACATAAAAATATTTTTTGTACTGTTTTTCCCAAAGGAAATTACTAAAGCTCAACCAAACACAATAAACGCTAAGCCAGTTGTTGTGGTACACGCCTACAGTCTCAGCGCTTGGGAGACAGAAGCTAGGGCATAAGGAGTTCCAGGTCATCCTCATTTACATAGACTTAGAGGCCAGCCTAGACTATCTGATACTCCATCTCAAAATTTAAAATAAATAAATGAAAAATGATCCCACTGAACCAAATTAATCATCTAAGTAACATATTCTATATATTGGGCTTTGGGAAATAGAAAGGTATGTCGAGACATTAATGGCCTACAATTTTGTTAAAAACTTCAAAATTTATACATAAAATGTTTAAATAGCTGGCCACAATGACTCATGCCTATAACCCAGAATATGGGAAGTAGAGGCAGGAGGATCAGCCTGCTATACCAAGTCCAAGAACAGTATGGTCTACAGAGTTCCAAGCTAGCCCAGTCCACAAGACAAGCCTTGCACCTAAAAACAGAAATTTAAATATATACAATGTCCCTGGCAGACAAGTGGTTGATTTCAAAGGACTTACTCTACACTTTCAATATGACCCCAAATGAAGGTTAGGATCTTCTGTAGACATCTATAACGGTGTAGTTTTGTATTACTGATTGAAGAAATATGAAGAAAGTGATTATAAACATAGGGACACCAAAACACCACTTCTTATATGAAGTAGAAAGTTATTTGTCTAGGCAATCACAAACAGTTTCCTGGCTGCCACCATGGGTCCCTTGATCACATGACTCTGGATCCTCAAGATGCCACCTCTTGATCCCAGGTAGTTGCTTCAGCTCCAGCATCAAAGCATTGTTCCAACAAGCAAGAGGAAGAAAACTGGCTTACTCTTCCCTTCCATAGTTACATGGATTTTAGAATCTCCAATAACCCAGCTGCCAATCACAAGCCTGAGACAAAGTGGCCAGCTACCTTATTACTGAGAATATCGGCTTTCCAGAAGCAGGGCACAGCACTCCTTCTTTAAACCTCTCAACCAGAACTCAGTCACACGACAGCATTTAGCGAGCTTCAGAAGAGGCAGAAAAGCTAGGCTTCATCCTGGATAGTAGCATAGAAAATGAGGGTTGGGGTTTCTGTCACGCTCTTTTTCTAAGAATATTTCTCTTATTGATGAGAATACCATCATCACACGTTGGAAAAACAAGGTCAAGCATATGTTCAAAGCAGGTTAGTTAAACAGTAGCCAACACTTGGTTGAGCATGTGAGTTTGGGGATCTGCTCACAAGCTAGTCTCTGTAGGAAGCTGTCCAAGTGCCAAGGCAGACTGTATGATGTTGAGTTTGGGAAGGTTTTGAGATGAGCTGGGCCTGAAGGAATGTGCCAGATTGTGAAATGGATGGGGAAGGGCAACTCAGTCAAAACTGACAGCAAAGACAGAAGGCAAACAGGGCAGCTTGGCTGGAGCAGAAGGCATGTGGAAGTGCTTTGCAAACTCAAAACAGGCTGGATGTGATGTGTGTCACAGAGAACAGGGTGGGGAGGCCAGGTTAAGGGAAGACTCTGGGCTGCTCCATAAATGGTCTCAGTAGTAGTGAACTTATGTGAAATGTGGGATAGCTGCCACCACACAGGGTTATCCTGAGGGTGAATATTAGTCTGTGGTCAGCGCTTGAGGCACTATGGTAATTTTGGAAAGCGTTAATAGCAATAGGATAGCCATGGTAGGAGTGATGAGACACATAATCTGGTACAGCTACTGCAAGAAGTTTGCATTTTTATGCTCTAGACAAAGAAGAACCACAATTGAGAGGAGAAAGGTTGAATCGGTATCATTTAGGACTATAGCCAAACTCTGTGCCTGGGGATAAAGCCTGAGATAAAACAGCAGGTGTGAGGATGCAGAGAAAAACATGGCTAGGAAGGAAGGTTGAGGTAGATGCTTGCAGTCAAGGGATGAAGAAAGGAGATGACTGAGTAGCTAGTGTACCATTCACCAAAACACAGAAAAGCCATGGGAACGCAGAGTTGGGGGCTGTAGAGGAGAGGTAAGAGCTCTGTAGAAGGGACGTCAAGATGGTGGAGCACCTGACAGCTCACTGGATATGCAGGAGTATCAAAAGTGGTATCTGCACCCAGCTATGGTGCACACAGCTGCAATCTGCCCAGCTCTGGAAAGGCTGAAGCACCTGGAGAGAAAGTCTGAAGCTATTCTGGGCTGCACACATAGCAAGTTCCAGGCCAGCATAGGTTATGTAGAGAGTCCCTGAGCAGATGTGGGGGCAAGCAAGGAGCTCACCCACAAACTTCTGGAGAACAGAGTTCCAAAGGTCAATAGTTTCCCAGGAGCAGGGAGAGAGAAGGTAGAAGGCGGAAGAAGACTAAAAGAGCCTGGAGGACTGAAGCTGAGGGAGGCAGGAATACGGAAGAGAGTCTTCAAAAGCACAGTTGCTCATGTGTTAAGTGCTGTGTTGCTAAGTGCTCTTGAGACGCCCAGGCTGGTTTGTCCTACAAAGGAGTTAGCTCAGAAGTCCTGTCACTTTGAGCACTTCCAGCTGAACACTGGAATCACTTAAGATTTCCCACTAAATGGGGCTTTGCCAATATGCTAGGGTGCTTCTGACATGCCATGTGTACCTGTATGTTGATGTGGATAGACCCACATTGAACTGGTTGGAGTTTTCCTTTTCTCCTCCCCTTCTCCTGCACTCCTCCTCCAATCTCCTTCCAGTATCTGCTGACTTAGCCATCTGCTAAATCAGCTAAGTCTATTAGCCCCTGCAGGACTGTTAACGTCTTGAGACAGCCCCAGCATTGAGGGCAAGATTGTATATTCAAAATACACACCCACTCATGCTTGTTGAATGAAAAGACAAAAGTAAAGAGGATACTCAACCAACAAGAGAAAAATGTGCTGGAGGACATTTGTAAATAATGGAAGTGGTTAGAGCTCTAGCCTCTGACCTTGGTAGGAATATGCTTTGCCTATCTGTGTCCTGGGGCAAGTTCCTCATATATACAATAGGCTTTACAGAATATTCTCTAGAGACAGCATTCTCCTAAATGATGCATGTATTTGGCAAATATTTAGTATGCTCAATTTCTCCATAAGTCTGACCTGAGAACAATGTATAGAAAAAATTTAAACAATTATAAACGGACCATTGTTTTTTGTTGTTGTATTTTATTGTTGTTGGGTGTTTGGTTGGTTTCAGCTTGTCATGTTTTTTTGTTACTGTATTTGTTTGTTGATCGTTTTTGTTTTTTGTTGTTCTTTTTTTTGGTTTTTTTTTTTTTTTTTTGAGACACTCTCTATGTATGCCTGGCTGTCCTGGAACTTGCTCTGTAGACCAGGCTGGCCTCAATCTCACAGAGATCCCCCAGCCTCTGCCTCCTGAGTGCTGGGTTCAACTGCGGAAGCTACCATGGCCGGAATCGGGGTGGAGCCGAAGGGTGTTTTATTTATTTATTTTAAGACAGGGTCTCATGTAGCCTTGACCTTGTTGTGTCACAAAGGATGACCCTGGCCTCCTAGTCCTCCTGTGCCATGGCTAATGCTGGGATTATAAATGTGCGCTACTTTGCCCTTTTCTTCATTGCCATCCACTAATGTTTACTGTAACCAGGAACTGCCAGGCACACACAAGGCAACCATGGAGATTAAGCCTGCCCCTTGTGAGGACACCAAGTGTATGGAAAAATTACATGTGGTCTTTTACAGGAAACAGCTTTGACAATGATTAGCATCCACATACAAATCAGCTGATGAGAATGTAAAAAGGCCTGTACACTGTTCTCGCCCTGAGTTAGCTGAAATGGCAAAAGGGAAAGGCATACATCTTCTTCTAGATCTAATCTTTTCTATTAAAACAAAAGCCAAAGAGGAAACACCAAGTAGCCCCTCTAAATTGTACTTACAAATTCTTCTTCTGTAATATCTGGCGGCTCTGAAATGAGATAAAACGTTACATTTTCGCACTCAGCTCTGACTTTTAGACTAAATGAAATCTGAGGCAGGGCCTTGCCCTACTGCATATGCCGGGTGAGTTCATAAAATGTTCATTATCCGCACGTGGAATAGATTTTTAAAGTAGAATTCAAGGTGGAGGTGGGGAGGACAGGCCTCTGTACTCTGGCTTGAAACCCAATTTCCCCCTCCCCCAACACACACCCAGCTAACCTAAGGCCCCCAGGTACAAAAGGAGAATTCAGCAAGATATAGCTGCACAGAAGGGGCCTCACTGGGGGTTCATATAAGGTGCAGTGGGAGGGCTGGGAGCGAGGGTGCAGGGTGGGATGCAGGCTGGGGTCTGAGCGCAGGAGCGCAGGCCCCACTTACCCGCGAAGAGCCGCTTCTCCGGCATGCCGCTAGCTGCCGGGCCGGCAGTCCCAGGAGCTACGACCGACCGCCTAGCGGCGCGGAGCCTCGGGCTGCCTGCTCCTGCACTGCAGGTGTTACCATGGAGCTGGACAATGCAGAGGCGCCTGGGCGGGGGTGGCGGCTCGGGAGTGGCCGTTACTGTGGAGACCGCACCGCTCCATTCTAGCAGACCCCTCCCACGAGGAAGGACCGAGAGCCAGGCCCCAGTTTCTTTAGCAGAGCAGCAAAAGGTAATATCCCTGGCTCCACATTAGGACCTCTACGTTTTCATAAACTCTGACCATTAAAAATTACCCGAACTGGAGAACAGAAATTAAGATTACCCTGTAATGTGTGCTCAGGATAAAGGTTAGGAAAAGAGAGCTCTGCGTGGTGGCACACATCTGTAATCCCAGCACTTGAGAGGTGGAGGCAGGACAATCAAGAGCTAAGGGTTGTCCTGAGCTACATAGAATTTAAGGCCAGCCTGGGCCACAGTGAAACAAATTCACACAAAAATTTGTTTACATAGAAAAGGTGAAATTTTAAACTAATACTTATTTTAAATATTTTTAAAAAGTATAAAGCTTTTATCTGTGTTGTATAGTTCTGACTTTCCCAGGTAACACCAAATAAACCTCAGAGCTACCAGCCTGCTCTTACCCAGCGGAACTTACAATGCAAATGTCTAAAAGGAAATATACCCCGCCCCACCCTATCCCTCTACACCCCACTCACACCCATCCCGAAACCCAATCTTGGCGCTTCATCTTTTGTCCAGGATTGGAGCAAAGACTTGCAAAGCCTGAACTAGAAAGATAGAGGCAGGATGATCAGGCCAGCCTGGGCTATACCAGAACCTATCTCAACTAAAACACAAAGACAGTTGTATCTTCCAGCATAAATCTTATGGTCATTAAATGATACATAACATCTTCCAAGTAACTCAAGCCAGAAAGTTTCTAAAACTTCTTCCACAAACCCCACATTCAGACAAGCATTGGAGTCAGCCAATTCTACCTTAAAATATTTCTGTATTTGAGTGGCCTCTCCATTCCCACTAGCAAGCACACACAGCCTTGGTGCTGGCTCCCATCTTGTTCCATCTGTTTTAAAAAGCTTCCTAACCTGCCTGTCTTCCAGTCTTTGCTTCCAGCTAGGAGTTCTCCTTAAATCCATTATCTATGCTGAAAGCAAAACCAGCTATCTAAATGCAAATCTGACCTACTTAAAAGCAGTCAGTGGCTCCACATTTGCCTCTTTAGGTATTTATTTGTTGCCCTTAAGACAATGGGCGCCTGTGTTACAAGCACCTGCTCTCCTGGCTGGACTTACTGCTCTTTTCAGTACAACAGAGGAAAAAGACTGCCCTTGCCAGACAAAGTCAGAAAGCCAAATGAAACCGAGAGAGAGCAGCAGAAGGCGGTCCCTATAGTCCTTGTGGACCAAGCAGACTCTGGCTCTATCTGATGACTTTCATGATCAAAGTTCCTCTTTGGCTGTTGTCCAGAGGGTGCAGGTGCTCAGGTACAGGCAAGTAAGCGCCTGATGGTGGGAAGGCAGCACAGCTTTCAGGACTCATATATACAGTTAAGACTAGAGCCTAGCAGGGGCTGGAGCCATGGTGTGGCAGTTAAGAGCACTAGAGGATCTAAATTCAACCCCCAGAACCTACATGATGGCTCAGAACTCCAGCTCCAAGGAATCCCACAATCTCTTCCTGCACAAATGCTTAAGTAAATGTTAGAGAACAAAGCCTAGAAGACCCGAGAGGCTGGGTGTGGTAAACAGGTGCTTGGAATGACTGTTGAAGATTTTTGTCTGAACAGAAGGGTGCTGTCATCTGTGGAGACAGGCAATGTAGGTCCATTGAGAAAGAAGTCCCCAAAGCAAGATTTTGAGTTTGCAATTGGCACAGGACTGCAGAATGTGGAATATCAACTTGAGAGTCAGTACACAAATGGACTTATAGGCCTTTTTGTTTTCTCTTTTTTTTCTTTCTCTCTCTTTCTTTCTCTCTCTCTTTTCTTTCTTTCTTTCTTTCTTTCTTTCTTTCTTTCTTTCTTTCTTTCTTTCTTTCTCTCCCTCTCCTTCCTTTCTTTCTCTCCCTCTCCTTCCTTTCTTTCCTTCCTTCCTTCCTTCCTTCCTTCCTTCCTTCCTTCTTTCTTTCTTTCTTTCTTTCTTTCTTTCTTTCTTTCTTTCTTTCTTTCTTTCTTTCTTTCTTTCTTTCTT